CATATACTACCAGAGTATGTATTTTGTTTGCATTCTGACCACAAGTATTGTGGTTAATGCAGACATGATTCCTTGTAAAAAGGTTTCAGTTTGGTGTTTTAACATCTTAACACCTGTTTGTTGCCAGTAAAAAGTGGAAAAACGTATTATCATAGGGTTATATTCTTTGGTTCTTTCGGTAAAGTCACGTAGATAGAAAATAACAAAATAAAAAATAAGAAAAACCAAAAACTCACAAGTCTGGGTTAGTAGAAACTAATTGTCACGTTTTGTTTACGTGACAAACCTTACTAATTGGCTGTGGCGGGTGGTGGCGGGTTTAACGATGTGTTTACATTTACGCGATCTAACCCAAACAAAAAACATTTATTACGGCTAATATTGGTCGCGGAATCCTATAACGTGTTAAACTGTCTCTCCATGCTATCATCATCATCATCACAGTCTATCCACTGCTGGAGACCAATCGTATATGGAACGTGCGTGTGTGTGTTGTTCTCTAATCTACGTGGTAGTGGTAGGTGGTCTCCCACTTTCATCTGCACAGTGGAGGTCCTCTCGGTGCCCCCCCCCCCGGCGGCCACGAGAGGTCGCGACAGCCGCTCGGTGCCCCCCCCCCCGGCGGCCACGAGAGGTCGCGACAGCCGCTCGGTGCTCCACCCCCGGCGGCCACGAGGGGTCGCGACAGCCGCTCGGTGCTCCACCCCCGGCGGCCACGAGAGGTCGCGACAGCCGCGCCAGTTGCCGCCACTGCCGGCGGAGGGGGGGAACAAATGTTGGTGGAGGAAGCTGCAATGGGTGACGATTCGATCCTGCGCTTCGATTCTCAGGATCGATTACGCTTTAGAATCGATTATTGTATATCCTTGTGGGTGGGTTTCGCAGCCCCGAGTGTATCCGATCACATTGGATGAAGTTTACCACGGAGTGAGGCTTTCGCGACCAATATCATCCATAATACAGGGTTTTTGTTTGTTTGTTTTGATCGCGTAAATATATAAATGTGTCGTTGAAACCGCCACCACCCGACACAGCCAACTAGTGAGGGTTGTCACGTAAACAGAACGTGGCCAATTCGTCACTAGTACAGCACTAACCGGTGTGTTGGAGAGCCAAGCCACAACATTTACAATCTGAGTACGACGTTTCGGCAGTAATTACAACTAGCTTCATCAGGCGGCAGCCAGATTTATGGAGACATCCTCCTGTTTCCTTCCTTAAATAGAGGGATAGACGTGATGGCAACACTTGTGAGCCCTTCGTGTGCCAAGGAGAGTTTACAACATTTTCTTCCACGCGAACCGATTTAAAGCATCGTTTAGCTTAAAAATCGACACGATGTTTTTTACACTTACCATTGGCCACGCGGGGCTACTGGAAGTGCATACATGCTGCAGCAGTACAAGCAACAAAAAATTATTTTATTGTATTTACTTATTTATTTTTCCCAGCAGCGATACAAGCAACACTCTGGACAGGTTTCGTCATTCCGTGTCTCATCAGCAGTTCGGTTCGCATCAACCGGTGATCTGCCAGGTGTTTATTATAGGCAAGGATTATTTTAGTTATGTACGGGTCCCGATGCCAAACTATGCAATACACAACACGGAACAATCATCAGCGTTGTTGATTAATCGATTCATATCAATTATCCTGGTGTTTGTTTATTACAGATTGCATACGCATGGCGTGCAACGCTTCCAACCGCGGCTCAAACAAAACCGAGCGATGGAGACCCAAAAACTCTCTCGGGAAACAATCGCACCGAGACGGGAAATCCGACACAAATAAAATCGATATAAATATACTGTAATCTATATAAATATAATCTATACAGATATAATATATACTGTAAATATAATATATACTGTATATATAATCTATATAAATATAATATATACTGTAAATATAATCTATACAAATATAATCTTTACAAATATAATCTATATAAATATAATTTATACAAAAATAATCGATACAAATATAATATATACTGTAAATATAATATATACAAATATAATCGATTCGTGGAGGGGGTTGGAAGGGTGGAGTGTGGAGTGACGGGAGGGGCTGGGTGGGTGGGCAGTGTCGGGGTCAGGAAGGGCAACGGGGGGAGTGGGGGGGTGAGAGCGGCGCCGTCCCCCATGCCACGCATCCCGGTGGTGCAGGCGGTGCAACTGCACCGGCACGTGGCCCCGACATGCCAACCACACTGCTCCCCTAGTGCACCTGCAGTGCAATCGCGCCAGCTGGTGGACAGCAGCGGCAGCTGCGGTGGACAGACAGCACGGGGTGTGGGCAGAGGGAGGAACTGGGGACAAGAGTCACGGAGGACCCCGTCTGCTGGAGACCCCTGGAACCTGCTGGCGGGTTCGAGAAGGGAGGCGCGGTCAGGGCGGAGCCAGGCGGCGCTGGGAGCATGAAAGGAGCCGAGAGCGAGCGGGGATGGGGCTCGAGGCTGCCGGTGCTGGGAGTGGACTCGTCTCGTCGTCTCGTCGCTGAACGTCTCCGCTAGACGTTGCGCTACATAGGATGGTAGTTGACTATCAGTCAGCGCCGTCAGTGCTAGACGGCCGGTGTTGCGTACAGGCTGGGCTCAGCTACTGTGGAGAGTGTGCGGACGAGACCGTGAAAGTTGTTAATAAAGAAAGTGCCTCCTAGGAACTCTGTCTCGGAATCGTTGACACTACACACACAAAGAAACAGATCCCCCTGATAGCCTCAACGGAATGTTGGGGCAAGTGCTGTTAGCGAGCAGCCCCTATTACAGCCCACACGGCACACGATGTTTAGACACCACACCAGGTACTCATTTGAGGTTCAGATGACCTAGGGGAGGCCCAGAACCGGTTAAGATGGTCACTGGTGTTGGCCGTGAGTGGGAATCGAACCCGGGTCTCCGGGTTCGTAGCGCAGTGCGCTAACCGCTACACTACCACACATACACACTCATACACACATACACACTCATACACACATACACACTCATACACACCCTCATACACACATACACACTCATACATACACACATACACACTCATACACACATACACACTCATACACACATACACCCTCATACACACACCCTCATACACACATACACCCTCATACACACATACACACTCATACACCATCATACACACACACACCCTCATACACACATACACCCTCATACACACACACCCACATACACACATACACCCTCATACACACATATACCCTCATACACGCATACACCCTCTCATACACACATACAACCTCATACACACCCTCATACACACACACACCCTCATACACACACACCCTCTCTCATACACACACACCCTCTCATACACACACACACCCTCTCATACACACATACACCCTCATACACAAAGATCCCCCGTGTAGCCTTAACAGACTGTAGGGGCAAGTGCTGTTAGCGAGCACCTATGAAGGCCGGTAACGGCACACGAGGGGGTGGGTGGCCAACACCACGCCCGACCGCCTTTGTCTCCCTAGTGACGATGTTTACACACCGCACCAGGTACTAATTTACCCTCATACACACACACACCCTCATACACACATACACCCTCATACACACACACACCCTCATACACACATACTCCCTCATACACACATACACCCTCATACACACATACACCCTCATACACACATACACCCTCATACACACACACCCTCATACACACATACACCCTCATACGCACACCCTCTCTCATACACACACCCTCTCTCATACACACACACCCTCATACACACATACACCCTCATACACACATACACCCTCATACACACATACACCCTCATACACACATACACCCTCTCTCTCATACACACATACACCCTCATACATACACACATACACCCTCATACACACACACCCTCTCTCGTACACACACACACACACACCCTCTCATACACACACACCCTCATCCACACACACACACACCCTCTCTCATACACACACACCCTCTCTCATACACACACACACACCCTCTATCATACACACACACATAGCCTCTATCACACACATACACACCCTATATCACACACACACACCCTCTATCACACACACACACACCCTCTATCGCACACACACACACACCCTCTATCACACATACACACCCTCTATCACACACACAGCCTCTATCACACACACACACACACCCTCTCTCACACACACACACAGCCTCTCTCACACACACACACCCTCTATCACACACATACACACCCTCTCTCACACACACACCCTCTCTCTAACACACACACACACCCTCTATCACACACACATACACACCCTCTCTCACACACACACACACTCTCACACACACACCCTCTATCACACACACACCCTCTATCACACACACGCACCCTCTATCACACACACAGCCTCTATCACACACACACACACCCTCTATCACACACACACACCCTCTATCACCACACACACCCTCTATCACACACACACCCTCTATCACACACACACACCCTCTATCACACACACACACCCTCTATCACACACACACACCCTCTATCACACACACACACCCTCTATCACACACACACACCCTCTATCACACACACACACCCTCTATCACACACACACACCCTCTATCACACACACACACCCTCTATCAGACACACACACCCTCTATCACACACACACACAGCCTCTATCACACACACACAGCCTCTATCACACACACACCCTATATCACACATAGACACACCCTCTATCACACACACCCTCTATCACACACACACACCCTCTATCACACACACACACCCTCTATCACACACACCCTCTATCACACACACACACACCCTCTATCACACACACACACCCTCTATCACACACACACACCGTCTATCACACACACACACCGTCTATCACACACACATACACCCTATATCACACACACACCCTCTATCACACACACACACCCTCTATCACACACACCCTCTATCACACACACACACACACACCCTCTATCACACACACACGCCGCCACGTGCTCCCCACGCACGTAGCGTGGCGTCACGCCGCAGTCGCGCACGGGCACCCTCGCTCCTCCCCCTCCTCCTCCCCCCCGCACCCTCCCCACGCTCGGTGAGCAGCAGCAGCAGCAGGAACCAGGCGAGAGGCACGCGGACCGACAGGCCGACGACGAAGACGACGACATGTTGTTGAGTTGACACGGCCCAGCGCTCAACTACGCAGGCCCGCGTCGGACTGCGAGGACCCCCGGGGCTGACCCCGCGTGAACCCCGAGACCCCAGCCGGAGTGAGCACCCCTTGAGAGCGGCTCTCTCGACAGGGGCCCCTCTCAACCACCGCCACCACCACCACAACAACAGCAGCGACGTCGGCCGCCGCCACTCAGCGAGGCCACTCGAGTTACACATCTCTTAAACAATTTTCCCTTTAAAAATTGTTGCCACCGATTGATGTTAGTCGGCTCGCCTTCTTGCTGTGGCGGTGACGGCGGTGGCGGCGGCGATGGCCATTGGTGTTTGTTAGACGCACTGCGAGCACGGGTGGATTCTTCCTTCCTTCGACAACCCGCGGAAGAGACTTCGAACGCTCTTGCGAGAAACGAGGAGGGACAAGGAGGTTGAAGACAACAGGCGGAGGAGCGGCAGACATCGCGAGTGGATTATTGCTGCTGCGGGTTCGTCGTGGCCGTGTGCGGCGGGGCAGCAGGAGCAGGAGGCGCAGATGGCGGCGTCCGCGTCGTCGTGGGCGCGCGGGGCGGTGTCCAGGTGAAGCCGTCCGCCGGGGAAGAGGCACGAGGTGGAGCGGCGAGAGGAGCGGGGATGTCGCCGCGACTCCGCGATGGCGCCCATACATGAGACAGGTAGGAGGAGGACGACGAGGGGCGGGCGAGATGCGACTGCTGAAGTTGACAACAACTCTCTCTCTCTCGTCTTTGTCTCGCTATGGCTGTGTGTCTTCACGCGTCTCTGTAGCCGTGTGTCTTGTCTCTGTGTATGCTAGGGCGAGTCTCACTCTCCACCACCACCATCACATACCATATATGGGCTAATCACCATCCACACCATAACCACCACCTCCACCATAACTTAACCATGATCCAACATCATCCTATCCTACTGATGCGTCGTTATTACCGAAACTAAACACTATCCCGTCCACCATCATCAACAGCATCATCATCATGACATCGATCACCAACATCACCATCGCCGAACCCAACTATGCAACAGCATCATCATCACCCCACCCTGACCCTAGACCTCCATCATCATCATCACCCTGTCCAGTTTCCCCTTTGTGACTGCTCCACGTGGTGTTGCACTGGGGGGGGGGGGGGGTGCACGCTCTGTCCGTGTCTCCCCACCTCATCTGTCTCTCTGTCTCGCTGTGTCTCACGTTTGTGTGTGTCCCCCGTCTCTATAGTATCTCACGGCCCCATGGCTGTGTGTTTGCCTGTCCCATTGTCGCCTAGCCCCCAGTTTCTGTCTCATGCTTGTACGTGTGGGTGTGTGTCACGGTGTCTCGCTGTCTCTGTTAAACTAAGTCTCCCTGTCTCCGCCTGTCTCTCTTGCCCCCACGTGTCACCGCGTGTCCAACGTGGCCCTCTGCCCCCACGTGTCTCCTCCGCATGTCTCTGCCCCCACGTGTCTCCTTCCCATGTCTCTGTTCTTACGTGTCTCCGCGTGTCTCCGCGTGTTTCTTTGTTTCTGCGTGTCTCTGTCTCCACGTGACTTTGCGTGTCTCTCTGCCCCCACGTGCCTCCTTCGCATGTCTCTGTTCCCACGTGTCTCCGCGTGTCTCTTTGAGTCTGCGTGTCTCTGTCTCCACGTGACTTTGCGTGTCTCTCCGTCCCCGCGTGTATCTCTGTCCCCACGTGTATCTGCGTGTCTCTCTGTCCCCACGTATCTCTCCGCCCCCACGTGTCTCTCCGTCCCCACGTGTATCTGCGTGTCTCTGTCCCCACGTGTATCTGCGTGTCTCTCTGTCCCACGTGTGTCTGCGTGTCTCTCTATCCCCACGTGTGTCTGCGTGTCTCTCTGTCCACACGTGTCTCTGCGTGTCTCTCTGTCCCCACGTGTCTCTGCGTGTCTCTCTGTCCCCACGTGTCTCTCTGTCCCCACGTGTCTCTCCGTCCCCACGTGTCTCTCCGTCCCCACGTGTATCTGCGTGTCTCTCTGTCCCCACGTGTCTCTGCGTGTCTCTCTGTCCCCACGTGTCTCTCCGTCCCCGCGTGTCTCCGCGCCACGCGCAACACTTTCCCCTGCGACCTCCGCGTCTAGGCCCAAGCGCTGCGCGTGGTGGCTGGGCGAGGCTGGAGGGCGAGGGGGGTGATGGGTGAGGTTTGGGCTGATGGGTGAGCTAGGGGGTGATGGGTGAGGTTTGGGGTGTTGGGGTGATGGGTGAGCTAGGGGGTGATGGGTGAGGTTTGGGGTGATGGGTGGGCTAGGGGGTGATGGGTGAGGTTTGGGGTGTTGGGGTGATGGGTGAGGTTTGGGGTGATGGGTGGGCTAGGGGGTGATGGGTGAGGTTTGGGGTGCTGGGGTGATGGGTGAGCTAGGGGGTGATGGGTGAGGTTTGGGGTGCAGGGTGAGCTAGGGGGTGATGGGTGAGGTTTGGGGTGTTGGGGTGATGGGTGAGGTTTGGGGTGATGGGTGAGGTTTGGGGTGTTGGGGTGATAGGTGAGCTAGGGGGTGATGGGTGAGGTTTGGGGTGATGGGTGAGCTAGGGGGTGATGGGTGAGATTTGGGGTGTTGGGGTGATGGGTGAGCTAGGGGGTGATGGGTGAGGTTTGGGGTGTTGGGGTGATGGGTGAGCTAGGGGGTGATGGGGTGTTGGGGTGATGGGTGAGCTAGGGGGTGATGGGTGAGGTTTGGGGTGTTGGGGTGATGGGTGAGCTAGGGGTTGATGTGGTGTTGGGGTGATGGGTGAGCTAGGGGGTGATGGGGTGATGGGTGAGCTAGGGGGTGATGGGTGAGGTTTGGGGTGTTGGGGTGATGGGTGAGCTAGGGGGTGATGGGTGAGGTTTGGGGTGATGGGTGAGCTAGGGGGTGATGGGTGAGGTTTGGGGTGATGGGTGAGCTAGGGGGTGATGGGTGAGGTTTGGGGTGTTGGGGTGATGGGTGAGCTAGGGAGTGATGGGTGAGATTTGGGGTGATGGGTGAGCTAGGGGATGATGGGGTGTTGGGTTGATGGGTGATCTAGGGGGTGAAGCGGGGGGTGTTGTCCTCACTGTCGGGGCGAGCGAGAGTGATCGCTGCGCGCGCGATCGCCACGACTCACGGCACCACCGTCACCACTCACTCGCTGCCTCTACCCCCCCCCAGCCCGTCACTTGTCACGCCACATGGTCCGGGACGCTGCTAGTCGGGTTTGGAGTCAGGGGTTATCGGCGTAAGACACTACAACTAGTGTACAGCATAACCCAATTCACAAATAATGATTTTATTCTACCCTATATTACAATAATCCGATGAAAAAACTACGCCGAGATGGATGTGGCGTGCCAAACCAATTACCCACTGGTTCTAACGTTACAAAAACATGGAATACGGCTGACGTTTCGGGCAATGTCCCTTTTTCAGAGCTGGCATGTAGGTGGACTTCACACTTTACCCCGTGGGGCCATAAACATTAAAACTCCTGACATCGTAAACAAGTCCCAGGTGGTCTCTGGGCTGGAGGGGAGACATTTTCATGAAAGACAAAGATCCCCCGTCTAGCCTGACCACACTGTGGGGGCAAGTGCTGTTAGCGAACACCTATAATGGGTGGCCAACACCACGCCCGGCCGCCTTTGTCGCCCCAGTGGTGATGTTGACCACACCGGGTACTCATTTGAGGCTGAGTCGACCTAGGGGAGGCCCAGGACCGGTTCAGATAATCGTCACTGGTGTTGGCCGTGAGCGGGGATCGAACCCGGGTCGCCGGGTTCGTAGCGCAGCGCGCTAACCGCTACACTACCGCTCCCCACGTGTACACACACACACATGTGCACGCACACATACACACGTGCACGCACACATACACACGTGCACGCACACACACACATGTGCACGCACGCACACACACGTGCACGTGTACTCACACATGTTCACGCACACACACACACATGTGCACACACGCACACACGTGCACACGTGTACATACACATGTGCACGTGTACACACATATGTGCACACGCACGCACACACACATGCACGTGTACACACACACGTGTACACAAGCACGAACAGGAAACGCCGCCCGCATTTTTGTCGTGAAATTTTTTTCCCCCCAAGTGCGCAAAGAAGCGTTGAGATCCGCGTGCTGGGAACGGCGCTGAGAGGCAGCGAGAGGAGGGGGAGGCGCACGTGGATCAGGGAAGACGTTGGGGGCACGATCACCCGCATTGTCTAAACGTTACCACAACATTCGCCAATATCCTAACGCTCGAAAAGGAAAACTAGAAACACGGTAACTGTAAAAGGCGACGTTTCCGGCAGTGAGCCTTCATATCATCCGAATCGTGTGAATGATTCATGTTGTGTTGTACTGGCGAGTGGGGCTTGGGCAGGACCCCCCACGGACAGAGGGGATGATGATGATGAATGGTCAAGGATAGTAAGGGAGCGGCAGCCGAGGGGATCGTTGCTGATGCTTGTTGCAACGCGGGTTCGCGAGAGGGTTGCAGCGGTGGTGGAGGCTTGTGGAGGCCTTCATCCAAATCCAGCAGTGGATTGACAATGGCTGATAACGACGATGACGACGATTATGATGGAATATTCCCCAGGCCGCTCGTCTGTGAAGGCAGCGCGCAGAGCCGCCATGGGATGTTTATGCCCCCGGGGCACCAGAGTAGACAGAGATGTTTATGCCCCCGGGGCACCAGAATAGACAGAGATGTTTATGCCCTCGGGGCACCAGAGTAGACAGAGTTGTTTATGCCCCCGGGGCACCAGAGTAGACAGAGATGTTTGTGTCCCCAGGGCACCAGAGTAGACAGAGATGTTTATGCCCCCCTTGGCACCAGAGTAGACAGATGTTTATGCCCTCGGGGCACCAGAGTAGACATATGTTTATGCCCCCGGGGCACCAGAGTAGACAGAGATGTTTGTGCCCCCGGGGCACCAGAGCAGACAGAGATGTTTGTGCCCCCGGGGCACCAGAGTAGACAGAGATGTTTATGCCCCCGGGGCACCAGAGTAGACAGAGATGTTTATGCCCCCGGGGCACCAGAGTAGACAGAGATGTTTATGCCCCCGGGGCACCAGAGTAGACAGATGTTTATGCCCTCGGGGCACCAGAGTAGACAGAGATGTTTATGCCCCCGGGGCACCAGAGTAGACAGATGTTTATGCCCCCGGGGCACCAGAGTAGACAGAGATGTTTATGCCCACGGGGCACCAGAGTAGACAGATGTTTATGCCCTCGGGGCACCAGAGTAGACAGAGATGTTTATGCCCCCCTTGGCACCAAAGTAGACAGAGATGTTTATGCCCCCGGGGCACCAGAGTATACAGAGATGTTTATGCCCCCGGGGCACCAGAGTAGACAGATGTTTATGCCCTCGGGGCACCAGAGTAGACAGAGATGTTTATGCCCCCCTTGGCACCAGAGTAGACAGAGATGTTTATGTCCCCGGGGCACCAGAGTAGACAGATGTTTATGCCCCCGGGGCACCAGAGTAGACAGATGTTTATGCCCCCGGGGCACCAGAGTAGACAGAGATGTTTATGCCCCCGGGGCACCAGAGTAGACAGATGTTTATGCCCTCGGGGCACCAGAGTAGACAGAGATGTTTATGCCCCCCTTGGCACCAAAGTAGACAGAGATGTTTATGCCCCCGGGGCACCAGAGTAGACAGATGTTTATGCCCCCGGG